AGAGCAATGGGGCGGCAAGCGCGGGTGCGGGGATGCCCAAGGGGGTTCCCCGGGGGCGCGCCGGGCGCGGGCCGTCGCGATGGCGGGGTCGGTGGCGCGAGGCGCAGTAGTAGCGCTTGTGCACCATGTAGGTCTCATGGCGGCTGAAGCAATGTTGCAGGCCTTAGAAAAGCGTCCGTCAGGGGGTCGTTGTCCTTCATCCCCCCGCTGGCCGGGATCGGACGCCCTCACTTTCCAGGCCCCCGCAGCCAAAGCCGCCGGTCTATGCGTCGGGCGTGGTCGCGCCCCCCGCCGGGTCCGGCCACCTGTGCCGGCCGACCGACTGGGGTTTCGGGTTCAAAGGGAACACGCCCCAGGGAGCCGCGCACCGGGGTGGGGGGCGCCTTGGGGCCTGCGGGCGGGGGCCCACCTCGTCGGGCGCGCGGCGGCCGGAGCAGTAGAGGCGCTTGTGCACGTAGAAGTTGCTGACGTTGTTGAAGGTGATGTCGCACTCAAAGCACGTAGCGCCTTTGGGGGCCCCCGCGAGTAGGCCGGCCCGGCGCCCCCGCGCCCACCCCCACCTGCAGCCTGCTGTGCACCAGCTCGGACATCTTGGCCAGGATCTCCGAGGCTGGGGGCGCGGCGGGGAATTGTGGCAGGAAGAGCGCACCGGGGCCTGGGCTGGAGCCGGGCGTGGGGCTGGGCAGCTCAGCCTTGACCCGGGCGGGAGCGGAGCTGGGTGGTGAGGGCGTCCGCGACGAAGGGGCTGGGGGCCCTGGCTCCGCCTCGGGCTCCTCGGCCGCCTCCACCTTGATGCTCCTGGGCGCTGCTGGGGGCTCGCTGCTGCCCCCGTTCTGGGGGGCCGTTCTGGCCTCTCCATTGGTGGCCTCGCCCAGGGCTTTCCTGTCCAGTCCTGGTGATGAGGTGGACCCCAGGCCCAGGTCGGAGGAGGCCAGGGGGCCGTGCAGGGCAGTGAGCTGCTGGAAGCCGGGTAGACTGTCTGCAGGGAGACCCCAGGGGCCACACTTCAGGGCTGGAGCAGGACCTGCCTGGGCCAGACCTGAGGAAGGGGCAGGGTGGGAAGGGAGAGCTGGGCTGGGCTGGGCAGAGGTGGTCGAGGGCCAAGACCGAATTGACCCTCTTGTGTCTCATGGACCAGCCCCCTCCCAGCCCTCAGAGGGGGCCCCTGGGGCTCACCTGGGGGGAGCTTGGCCGAGGGGTGCCCGACCCCTGGCGAGTAGATCTCAGCCTTGGAGCCTGGCTGGCAGACCATGTGGTTGGTTACCAGGTGGCTGTAGAGGATGTCCCTTGTGGTGGAGATGAAGCCACAGCTGTGGCAGACACCTGCAGATGGTCTGTGGTGTCAGGGCCCTGGAGCCAATGGGCTCCACAGACACCCCCTGACCCGCCTCCTGCCCCCTTCCCAGCCTGCTTACCGCTCTGTGTGTCTGTGTGCACCTTGAGGTGCCGCTCGCAGTTGGCCTTGGTGGTGAAGGCCGACAGGCAGATGAGACACACGAAGGGGCGCTCGCCTGGAACATAGGGCCCAGTGAGGGGCCGTGACATGGGCTGTGTGTGGAGGGCTCTTCAAGCCTCCCAGGACCCCGGCCCGGGCCCAGCCCCGAGCTGACCATCCAGACAGCCACAGATGGGCCTCATGCCCTGGGAGCTGTGGGAGGCTGTGTGGTATGGTGGGAGGACCACACAGGCGCATCTGTGGCCTGGGCGCAGTGGGCACGCTATCAGCAAGCAGGCGGGGGTCCTGAGGGGGCGTGGAGCCTCACCGCTGTGGCTGCGCATGTGGATCTCCAGGGAGCTGGCACTGGGGCAGCTTTTGCGGCACTGAGGGAAGGGGCAGACACGCTCGTTGGGGTATGGCTCCTTGGGCTTCTCGTCAGCGGCGGCTGTGGCAGGGGAGCCGGCACTCTGGCGGCTGGCACAGTAGTACAGGAGGTGAGCTTGCAGGTTCCGCTCACTGCGGTACCAGATGCCGCAGTCCTTGCAGGGGAAGACATCTTCTGTGGGGCAAGAGGTGGGTGAAGCCTGAGGGGACATTCCAGAAGCAAGAGGGGCCGCCTGCAACCCAGGGCCAGGCAGTGGACTCTGCAACGTGAGGGCTCTGCCCTGGCTGCCTCTGGCGTCTTCCTGCTTTAAGCAGTAGGTTTGTGACCTGGACTTCCTCCTCCCATCACAGCTGCCCTTTCTTATCTGTCCTTTTATAACCCGGGGTGCCCTCCAGGCTGCCTTCCAACAGTGAGCCCCGTAAGGAGATGCTGTGGCCTCATGGGGTGTTCATGGGAGGAGCTTGGGCATGCTAGTGGACACCTGCAGGAGTGAGACGGGTCCAGGACGTGGTTGTGTCAGTTATTCAGTGGGGGTGACCATGTACAGGTGAGGAAGGTGGGCAAGCGTGTGCCGGTGCATTTGTGCTGGTGAGGGGGCTGTGAGGGATGGTGTGGACCCTGGTGCTTGTGGAGGATGAAACAGGTGTGTGCATGTGAACAGGTGTGTGAGTGGCCAGGCACACAGGGACCAGGTGCACGAATCCCCTGCACTCAGGCACCAGGATGAGAGTTGAACATGGCTCTGGGTGGCTTCTGGGGAAGGGGTGGGCAGGAGGTGAAGCCAGGAGCTACAAGGAAGAGGAGCCCTTTCTGTCCTTGTGTTACCCCCCATACAGGTGGATGGTTCCACATCAGGTACTGACTGAATGGTCACAGTTGAATCCACCAAATTTACGACAAATAAGCTGCCTTTAATTTTTCAGTTTATAGGAGTTTGGATCGCAGGGCTGTTTTTCCAGCAGGTGAAGATTTCTCTGATGGCTGCTTCACCCGTTCTCTGGTTCTCAGTGTGTTTTTATAGCAGAATTTAAAGGAATGTTCTGTCTGCCCCTGCTCTGTGGCCAGCTGCCTCTTGGCTGAAGATGGTCAGGGGAGGGCTTGTTCTGCACCTTGATTTAGGAGGGATGAAGGGCCTGGGGTTCCTTATCGTCTGGTTTCTACTTCTGCAGGTTAGGATGTGTTTCTCAGCCTGGCTTCTCCGATGTCTGTCCTGGGTCCATAACTATTGCACAGGTGCTGCTCCACCCAGGAGGCTGCCAGGTTTCCCATTTTCTCCACTTCTCTTCAGGAATTTAGTACCTGTCTGGGCGAGGTGGCCACCCTCGTGCCCCCTACTTGCAGTTTTTCTGGTTCTGTTCCCTTCCTACTGTGTTTACTCTGCTTTTCAAGTTCCCTTTTATTTGGGGGCTCAAGGCAGCTCTGTTCTGTATCAGCTGAGGCCTTGACCTGAAATGGGAACCTGAGGCCACCAGTGTTTTTTTAAAAATGTATTTGCAAGGTCAATGCTGGGGACTGTGCTGCTGGCCTCAGAGTCAAGAGAGGGGTCAGAGCGTTGGAGGCCAGCTCAAGCCACAGCGACCCAGGACTGACCACAGGTGGGCTGACCAATGGTCAAGTCCTGGGTGGGCACAGCCCAAGTCACTTGCACAAACACCTCGAGCTGGTATTGCCATTATCCCCACTTAACAGGTGAGAAACTTCCCAGAGTGGTGGAGTCTCAAGAATTAAACTGGGGCCCTGGCCAGCTCTGTTGGTTAGAGCCATAAGCCAGTGTTGTGGGTTCAATCCCTGGTCAGGGCACATACAAAAATCAACCAATGAATGCATAAATAAGTGGAACAATAAATCGATTCTCCCCCTTCCTCTCTCTCAAAATCAATAATTAAAAAAACAACAAAAACAATTGGACTCAGCAGATACCACCTCCCTCGGCAGACCCCGCCCCCCTCCTGCAACTCTAGTGTCCACAGGCCCTGTCTCTCTCTGGGAGTCTCATCCTGCCCCAGGGCTCCCCAGGGAGCTTGTGGAGCTCTGACTGTGCCCTGAGCCCCAGCACACGTTTCCCAGCCACCTAGAGGTCAGGATGCTCAGCAGAGCTCTCCTCACTGACTCTCCCGCCAGCAAAGGTGCAGACCAACATCCACCGAGCCAGCCACACCGAAGTTCCTGGCCTGATGGCTGCCGCCTCCTCACCCACCCAACTGTAGCCGGCTGGTCCCTGTGGGCTCCAATGTCCCTTCAGGCTATGCCTTAGCTGCATCCACTTGCATCAAATGACCTTTGACTTGCTCAAAAAGCTTCCTCTTAGAATTTTGCAACCCCACAGTTACCACCCAGCAGCCAGGGTGATTTAAAAACCAGATTGGATCACACCCTTTGCTGTTTAAAGCCTCTAGGGCGGTCTCCTTGCTCTGAGAAGAAATCCCATTCTTGCCTAGAACCACCCTCAGATTTGCGCAGTTTGCGCTTGCCGCACTGCCTGGCTCCAACCACAGTGACCACCTGGGCCTTGGTGGGTGACCACTCAGCTGCTCTTTCCCGGTATGCAGGTCCAAACCTGACTGCTCTCATGTCCGAGCCACTTTCCCAGGCACCCAACAAAGTAGCCCTGCTACTGTCTGACCACGTCATTGCTTTCCTTCCTGGGACGTACCCTCCACTGCTGCCACCACCTCCAAGTAAGGTCACCTCTCTGGTGTATTGGTCCTTTCAGGCTTGGCCAGCGCCCTACCTCGGCGATCCTGGTGCCTCCACTGCTTGGTTCAGTGTGGATATTAAACAAGTATTTGTGGAATGTGTGAATCCCACTTAACTCTCACAACAACTCTTGGAGGCTTAGTGTGTGCTGAGAAGTGGGGGCAGTACCAGTGTTTAGTGGGCAGGGCCAGGGGTGGCTCACATGCCAGCAGAGGCTGAGAAACAGAAACCTGCTGTGCTCCAAAGAGGGAGGCACGGGCTCAGGTTTGTGCTTGTTTACTAAATCTTTCCAGTGTATGACCCGGGCCCTGGGGACCCTGCTGCCTCTGCCCTAGCTAGTTGCACGCTGCTGCCCTGCCTCCCTGCAGCCTGCTCAGGGCTGCCCCATCACTATTCATGAGCCAACCTTGTTGCTCTCATGAGCTGGCTGCAGCCTGGAGCCCCTCCCACTCCTTGAACCCCTCTTTCAAGTTCCCCGTGCATGTCTCCTGCAGCACACTTCCTCCTCTGCTCCGATCCAGCGGTCACAGATCTTGTAGATCTTGAGCTCCTCAGTACCACCTGCAGCCCTGCGCCTGGGGACTGTGCTGGTCCTCCCATGCATCTGGGTGGCCCGAGGGTGGTACTCACTGTTGATGACTGCTGTGGCCAGGATGGATGCCATGCCGGCCTGCTGGGGCAGGAGCTGGATGTCAGTGTGTGAGGTAGCCAGGCACTCGGGCTCTGCAGGCTCCTTCTTCACAGGGTGGTTGGGGGTGCTGTGGGGCTCGGCTGCGAGGAGCACGCTCAGCAGTCCCCCTGCTGGCACTGGCTTGGTGAGCCTGCACCAGAGGGCTCCATCTGCAGGGGTAAGGGCACGGTGATGGGAGGACCAGCAGCTCCAGGCCCACCACAGCAACTCCGCAAAGACTCCCCTCTTATCTTCTCGAGCACCTCATCTTAGAGACCAGAGTTTTGAAGCCCAGGATGGGGGATGGAGCCAAGGCCATAGTTAGGGAGTGACCAGGCCTGGTGCACAGCTGTGGCTGGTTGGTTTCCACAAGTCGTCCTGCATCTGTGGGGCAGCTGGGTGGTCCCCCAGGCCTAACCTAGCCTTCTTGGGCTTTCTTGCCCTGAGCTGAACCCATTGAGTGGAAATTGAGGGTGCCAGCAGAGCTTCTCTGTTTTCCAGGAGAGGGGTGGCATGGAGGACAGGTGGCAGAGCGCCTGGTAGCCACTGGGCCAGGCCCTGGACTGGCAAGCCTGCTCCATTCAACTCTGCTGGTGCACTGTTCTCAAGGTGGCCTGCAGGGGGCAGCCTTATCCAACAGGACCCTGGCGAGCTGCCCAATAATCCACCTCCAGTGTCCAGCACAAGGCTACTAATTGCAAGGATCCTTGTCCTGCCTGGACAGACACAGGTGGCCAGAGCCCTGCTGACCAGGCTAGGAAGAAGGGTGGGCCAAGTAGTGCTAACTGACCCACGTCCTGGCTGGGTGTATAACCTCATGGCTGAGTACTCACTGTCAAGACCCAGTTCTCTCCTCTAGCTGCTTTCTGGGACCTTAGAGTACCCCTTGATGGGGAGGAGGGGCGAGGGTTCCCTCCCCCCTGTGGATGGGGAAACTGAGGTACAGAGGGTGAAGCGTTGGGACCAGGTGCATGGTTGACTGCAGGGCAGGATGGAAAGCCCAGGTCCCCAGATGCTGAGCCCAGCATCCGTTCTGTACCCCTGCCAGGCCCTGGCAGCCCCCAGGTGGGTAGGGGCTGGGCCGAGGAGCTGGTCACAGGACTGTTGCTTATCTCCAATGGCCTTTGGCTCTGTCTGGAAATCAAAGCCACCCTCAGGATGGAGCTCTGCCTCCACTGGGTGTTCAGCCAAATGTGCTGTGTGCTCAGGAGGTGGTGGTGAGGGTGACACCCCCCAGAACATTTTAGCAAAATGGGGAATGAGGTATGTTTGGTCAGTAGGTGCACAGCCCTCCTGGCTGGTCACATGGCAAACAGCCCTCCTGTCTGTAGAAGTCACGAGGATGTCTTCACATCCTCCCCTGGGGCCTGAGCCTCATCTGTAATGGGGGGCAGGGTCCACACCACCCTGACCCTCACACACTGGAAGCCATGCCACACCTTCCTCAGGAATAAGACCACTCAGGGCAGCAGGGCTGTGGTGATGGAGATGGTAGCCCCTGCATCTGCCTGGCCTAGACTCTAAATTGAGAAGGTGAGGGGGGCAAGGACCCCCATCTTGTTCCCCCTCCTCCTCACCCAGGCTCTGCCTCCAGGGACCCTCCCTCCAGAAGGTGCAGGGAGGCAGGAATGGCCAAAATGCACAGGCAGGTCTAGTAGCACCTGTTGCCGGGTCCCTGGCCTGGGCTCCTCCGCTGCCCTGGAGGTATCCCCGAGGCCCTGAGAGCGGTGCTGGCTTCCTGACCCTGCTCCCCCATTTCAGGGCAGACATCTGTGCGACCCTAGGTGGGCATTAATCGGGGTGCTAGGGGTATGTTGGCCAGTCCCTTGGCCCGGCCCAGAGCAGGCTGGTTTCCCTTTAAGAGCCGGCCCTGGGAGAGGACCTCCACCTTCCGGAAGGCAGAGAGGGAAGCGCCAGATACCAACCCTTCCTGTGGATCTCCACATTGGCCTCAGCCTCCGTCAGGGCCCGGGGCAGTGTCCTCAGCCAGCAGGCTTCGTCCTCCAGCAGCAGGGTCAGGGCCGGGCTCTGGGGGGCAGAAAGGAGGGGGTCAGCAAGGACAGAGAATGGGAAGAGCCCAGCTAGGGGTTCTCCACGGGGCACATGCGGGGAAGCCCAAGAGACCAACTGGTAGGATGGCTGGACCAGGCTGTGGGCCTGTTCCCTGTCAAATGCTGTGCTAGTGACACCTTTCAGAGCTCAGGAGCTGCGTTCTCTTGGAAACTGAGGTCCAGAGAGATCAAGCAACATATCCAAGGTCACACAGCCAGCCAGTGACAGAGGGAATTCACACACAGACCTGTGTTCTCTCCTTACCACCCCCACCCCCATCTTAGCAGGCTGCTGGGTTTTCGTGAAATCCACGGGGTGCATGGGGTTGCACCAGGCATAGGCTCCTCCCACACGGGCCCCCAGGGCCTTGATGGGGAGAGGCAGAGATTGGTCCTGAGGAGATGGCAGGCCCCCAGGAAAGGAGCTTCCGTGTCCTCCCAGACAGTGGGGCTCCCTACCCATTGCAGGGCAGGGTAGGCCCACTTTTGTTGAGACCATCCTGGGGCCAGAACATGGCAGATACTCAAAGAACACCTTCCTGGGCTAAACCACTCACTGAGGTCCCCAAGTAGTACAATGTCCCCATGCTGAGCCTGGCTCAGTCCCTGGCCCCCTCCACATGGCTCCCGAGAACAGCCCCTGGCTCACCGAGCCTTGGGCCAGCCTGGAGAGCAGGCCGTGTCCTTCTCCTGTCTCACAGGGAGGAAAGTGAGGCTTAAGGAGGGGGGAGGGGAGGGACAGGTCACGCCAGCCTCTTGCCCAGCAGTGTTCTCCCTCCCGGCAGGGTCTGCAAGCTGGCTTTTGCAGTATCCGGAAGGAAAGAGTTCTGGATTAGGCTCTCAAGGCTGCTGTCCGCGGGGCTTCGGAGGGGGTGGCCTGATTTCCGGAGCCCAGCTAAGCAGAGGAAACACGTGTCCCCTGTCCCAATGCAGCCTGTGCCTGGAAACGGCTGGCCGGGGATCGGCCGCCTGCAGACCCACTCTGTGGCCCAGCTCTTGGTTACACATGAGGTTGGGGTGCAGACCCATGGCTGGCTGGTGGGCAGGGCAAAACCGTGGCCCTTTTTGCCTGAAGAAGTGGGGGTGAGCTCTAACCGGTTTGGCTCAGTGGATAGAGTGTCAGCCAGCGGACTGAAAGGTCCCAGGTTTGATTCCGGTCAAGGGCATGTACCTTGGTTGCGGCACATCCCCAGTAGGAGGTGTGCAGAGGCAGCTGGTCGATGTTTCTAACTCTCCCTCTCCCTTCCTCTCTTTAAACAATCAATAGAATATATATTTAAAAAAAAAAAAGAAGTGGGTGTGACCGCTGCTGTCTCTTGGGCCTCAGCCCCAGCACTGGACCCCGGTTCTGGGATCCTCTTCCTGGAGGTCCCCAAGCTTAGCAACTGAGTCCCATATGGAAAGTTATGTCACACGTCAACATTTGGGCACTTTTTGTTTTATGCAAATAAATGCCTTTTACTTAGAAAGGTCTGAGCATCAGGACCTTTAAAGAATCAGTGTCACTTGCTGTCACCTGAAAATGCTACCACCTAAATGGCAGTGGTTTTGTGCACATGGCAGTTGGTGGGGATGCTGTCATGTGGGATGTCCTCTGATGGATTCCGGACACCTCCACGCCAGGTCTGAGCCCACGCCACTCTCCTGGGCTTTGGCTGTGGGGGCCACAGGGGCTCCAGAGCTGGGCACTGGGATCCAGTCCAGACTTGACCTTCCCACTGTGACCTTGGGCAGGGCATCGCCCCTTTGACTACCTCTGCATCTTGTCCTCACCCTGTGGCAGACTCAGGGACCCTGTGGGATCAGGCCGGTGTGCCGGGCACTCCCGGTAAGAACTCCCAGCCAGGTCGGAGCACCCTGGTCATGGAACAGGTGAGCAGAGAACAGCTGGCCAGTGGGTCAGGGAGAGCTCCACCTGTCCCAGTACCACGAAGCCCTCCCTGGGTCTTGGCATCTCTCTGCAAATGGGTGATGCCCCTCCTGATCGGAACTGTGGCCTGAGTCTGCTTGCTCACTCTGGACCCATCCTTGCCCTGCCACCTGCCTGCAGGGCATGTCTCATTCATGACTCTGTGACTCAGTTTCCCCTAGGGCCATGGTCGGCAAACTGCGGCTCGAGAGCCACATGCGGCTCTTTGGCCCCTTGAGTGTGGCTCTTCCTAAGCCTTAGCAGTACCCTAATTAAGTTAATAACAATGTACCTACCTATATAGTTTAAGTTTAAAAAATTTGGCTCTCAAAAGAAATTTCAATCATTGTACTGTTGATATTTGGCTCTGTTGACTAATGAGTTTGCTGACCACGGCCCTAGGGCATTGGGAAGAAGCAATCTGTGTGAAGCCCTCCTTTGGAACAGTACCTGTCTGGTATGTGACCAGCACATGGCAAACAAGCCCCTACCACTAACACCCTTGCTTTTGTATTCCTTTTGGCCAATAGGACACACCAAGTAGGAGCTGTGCCTCTGGGGCCAGGAGCCTGGTGTCCACTGGGGCACCGGGCCAGCAATTGCTAAATGTCAACTTGGGGTGGGCATCTCCACCAACGAGCCTGCTTTCAGGCAGGCTGATGGCAAGCAGCTCCCTCCTTTTGACACCTGGTGATTCTGACACTGCAGAGCAGGGGTGGGAGCTGGGTGCCAGCTAGGGGTCCCTGCTGGCTGGGACATCTGCTGGGGCTACAGCAGGGGGTCAGGCCTAGGGCAAAGTAGAATGGATGGGGGGTGCTGGCACAGCGGTGGGTGAACCAGCAGCAAGGCAGAGGCTGGGTCTCCTTGAGTCTCTAATGAATATTAATGAGTAGAGGAGGGTGAAAAAAAATTAATCTGCCTGATCCTCCGATGGGTGCTGCGGTAACGATATGAAATCTAATTATTCGTCCCAATATTTCTAAACCCTCACACTGAGACTGACAGCCTCCCGGTCGGTTTAATGCTTATCACTCTCAGGAGCGCGTGTTCGCAGCATGATAAAAACCCCCGCGCTCAGCTTTGCTGACGCTGCAGAACCCCTAATTTTCCATGTACGTTCTAAGCTGACGGACGGCAGTGGCGCCATGTCCCCGGCCAGCTTTGTGCCTTCTGCCCAGAGCAGCCCATCTCTGTGTCCCAGTGGGTACTGAGCACCTGCGCTTGGTGGCTGCCCTGGCTGGGCTAGGTGACAGCCCCTATCTGTGAGGGCAAGTGAGGAGGGAGGGAATGCAGGGGCCTAAAGGGGGCTCTGTCTCAGACCCTACACCTGATTCCCAGGAGGAGATGGGTCAGGAGATCCAGAGCTTTATGACTGACTTTCACCCCCACATTCCCTCAGCCCTTAACACCAAGGTGGGCTGGTCCCCCACTTAAATGGGGAAGGCTGGAAAAGGGTGGGGCACAACCACCTGAGTGGCACTTGGCTCCGAGGGGTGCAGGGACCCCTGGCTCTTGGAGAGTGTAGCATGGCCTTGCCCAGCCTGCCCTTATCCCACCCCCCAGCCAGCCCTGAGCCAGTCCCTAGCCCTGTGCCAGGCAGCTGGACCCCCATGTCTGCTGGCTGCAGCCTGAAGGCCACCTCCCTGCCCCCAGGAGCACGCTGAGCCCCGGGTGAGGGGCAAATTTCAGTCCACTCCCCCTGTGGAGGGGCTGACATAACATGGAGCTGCCCCTTTATTTTCTTTCCTTTTTCCCTGCTATATTCTCCCCAATTCGAGCAGCCTCGGAACAGAAGCCCTTTTCTCTGGTGATGAAGGCGCTGGGCAGAGACAGGCCTCCTTCCTAGCCTGCCTTGCCTTGTGGGCAGGGGGAGCAAGCTTGGAGGGGACTATTCACAACTTCCCCTGGCTCTCCAGCCAAAACTAACAGGGTCGTGTGTACCACCAGCTGCTTTTCCTCCATGGGTGCCCCAGGCTGGGTGCCCAGTGTGGGTCTAGCTCGCTCTCAGCCCTGTCAGGAGCCAGCGAGAAGCCCTGCCTGCCCTGCCTACAGCCCCGCAGGGTTGCCCCCGTTCCTCCCTCCTGGCTCCAGGGCAGCCCCACACAGCCCCAGGATAACGGGCGGCCACTTTAAATTCTCTGGGTGCATCTGAGAACACTCCTTGTTTCCCCAACAAAGAGGTCAGTGTCTGGATTCTGTGCCCACCGATAACCATCAGAAACCCTATCTCCGCCGCATCCGCTGTGACAACTTTATCTGAGGCTGTTCCCAAACCTCGCAGTGCTTCTCATGAAGCCGCATGGAGGGTGAGGTGGGGGCCCTGTTCTGGGGGAGGGTGGCCTGGCACAGGGAGCAGACAGCCCTGCAGAAGGTCAGCGGGGCCACTGGCCCTCCCCCAGGTTACCACAGGCAGGTTCCTGAGAGGGCAGAACTGGGGCAGGCCAGGGTGGGCTCTGACTGGGGCCCCCCCAACTTCAGTCCTCAGTCCTTCAGCCCATCCTGAGAAGCCCCGCCCTTGTCCCCAGCTCACCTTGCCAGAGGCAATGGCCTTTCAGTCCTCAGGCCCCTTTGTCTCCCCAGACCCTGTAAAGAACCCATTTCACAGGAGAGGAGACTAAGGCTCACAGAGGTTAATGGCGCCCAAGGCCATGGGAGGGGTGGTGGTGGTGGTGGTGGCTTCTGCACATAGGATTATAACCCAGGTATGCATGATCTCCATTGAATCACTGCAGCTTTTTCATTCATTCATTCATTCGGCAAATAGTCCCGAATGAATGAGGGCATGCTTTGTGCCAGGTGCAGGGGCACCATGAACAGAACATGCAGTCCCTGATGTCTTGGCAGGATGCTGGAGTGGAAAGGCCAGCAAGAAAGAAGCTGTGGAGGCTGGAAGGGAAAGTGCTGGAGAAACAGGACAAGGCTGAGAAGGGCTGAGGCCTGGTGGGGCAGCTGGGTATGGGCAGCTGTAGCCAGGACATGGGGGTGAGGCCTGGAGGGGTGAGGAGGAGCACTGTGTGGGCATCAGTGGGAATGGGACTTGGAGGAGGCAGACGATAGGGGAGGGGACAATAGTCTTTCTGGTGTGGTGGGAGGGGTCCCGGGTCTTTGACACCAGCTGAGTCCTCCTCCTGGATCCCCTGCAGGCCAGTCTGGGTTGACTCTGTAGCTGGAGCCCCTTCTTGCCGACAGCACCTCCCAGACCCTGTGGCACTTTCCCAGCTCCCATAACTGCAGGTAGGGAAGCTGAGGCATGGAGAGGAAGGGTGCCAGGGACCTAGGAAAGCCAGCAGCAGGTCTCCTGTCTGCAGCTTGTCTCCAGGACACCCCACAATGCCCTCTTCCCTACCCCGGTGTTCCAGCCAAGCCCAGACCTGAGCATCCCCTCGGGGCTGTCCTATGCAGAGCCAGGGGCCAACCTGGCTGGGCCCTCGCTCTGCTGACTGTTGGCTCTGTGGAGCCGGCTGGATGTGGCCCCCAAAGATATGTCCACCCAGAGCCCAAATGTGACCTTGTTTGGAAGGGTCTTGGCAGATGTGATTAAATTAAGGAAAGCCAGGTGAAATCATCCTGGATTATCCACGTGGGTCTTAAATCCAATGACAGGGAGAGAAGAAGAGGCAGAGGTGGGACTGACACATCTCCAAGCCAAGGAACCCCAAGGACCACCAGCAGCCACCAGAAGCTGAGGAGAGGCCTGGAATGCATCCTTCCTCCGAGACCCAGAAGAAACCAGCCCTGCCACCCCCTGGCCTCAGAACTAGGAGAGAATATAATTCTGCTTAAGACACCAGGTTGTGGCACTTTGTTCAGCAGCCACGGGAAACTTACATTCTGGGGTCCTCTCTGAACTGCCTCATGGCCAAGGTGAGTTAACAGTGCCAGGGTAAAGCTCTCGTCCAGGGCCTGACCATCATGGTCCTAGTGACCTGTTGGCACCCCGGGTCTGGGCCAGGCTACCCTTCAGTAATGTGGGAAGGGGAAGGGAGCAGCAGAGCCACAGGGCATTTCCTGTGAGGTCCCATGGGCTGCTGGGTATACTGAGCAGAGGACAATGGGCTGCGATGGCTGGAAGAGGTCCCTGGGAGCAGCGGGGGCATGGACAGGCCCACGGGCTGGCAAGTAAGGAGGCAGTGGTGGGGCAGGGACGTGGGCAGGCATAGCTGGCAGGCCAGCTCCGGTGCTGCCTTGCTGTGCCCAGATCTTAGTGGGTCGGAACCGCCTGCTGTCAGGGTGTGTCACAACATGTCCAGGTGGGAACATGGAGGCTGGACAGCTGCAGCCAGCAGCACCTGGCGCGTGGGGAAGAAGCCGCCCTGACGTGGAATGCTGGGAAACATTTCAGCAGGTGCACTAAGCAGGATGCAGGGCAGCTTGCAGTGCCTTCCCTCCTGGGTAAAGAACTCACAGCACCCCACACCCAGGTTGGGTGAACCAGACGTCAGGGGAAAGCAGTGCAGTGATGGGCAGGGGGCATTCTTCCCTATTACAAACAAATGTAAATGGGAACCCAAGAGGGAGCGAGGGGCATCACCAGGAGTGTACCCAGGCACCCTGCCTCAGCGCCCCCCCTTCCCCGAGGCTTCTGGTCAGAGCTTGCCCTGTCGTGAGGTTTGGCTCTGCCATGGCAGTGACCCCTGTGCCAGCCTTCGAGGCTTCCTGCATGGAAAGCTGCTCAGAGCCAAGGGCCCCAGCCCCACCTCCACCTCCACCTCCAGGTGAAGGACCAAGGAGGCCCACCCTCTACACTGATTCGGGGCAAAGACACCTGGGGCCACATGGTAGGTCAGGGCCCAGGGGGTCCCACTTCAACCTCTCAGGCAGGGTCTTTCCCCAGTGAACCTGTTGCCCTGCTTGGCTGCCATGGGGTCCCTCCCAGGTCTCACTGATGTTGTGATGGTCTTATGGCTAAAGTGGGTGAGCCCTGGACACAGATGGGTCAAGCAAGTGTGGACCAAGCTGGGGGTGAAAGTTTGTTCATTCATTTGCCCATTCATTCATTTATCCACCCATCCATCTATCTGTCATGCATTTATCTACCCATCCACCATCCACTCATCCACCCATCCATCCACCATCCATCCTGAACATTTCTCTTGTACTGACTGCAAATTTTAGAGCTGGCTGGGCCTCCAAGCCCTCGTTTTCAACAGTGGAAACTGCTGCTGGATCAGGGAAGGACCTGCCTGAGTTAACACAGCAGGTTGGTGCCAGAACCAACGCTTAATCCCCCGCCAGGTTCTGTGCCCTCTGTGTCCTTCCTAAAGCTCCCACTCCCAGAGTCCGGCCACCCTGTCCCCTCTCCAGCCTGCACCCCCAGCAGGAAAGGGCCAATACACCCCTTCGGCGCCCCTCCCCCTCCTCCCTCTTGAAAGAGTGAATACCGCCAGGCGGCTGATAGGATGATTTGGGGCAGGAGGTGCTTGGAGGAGAGAACTGGGACCCATCAGCTGAGCTCGATAAGGGGCCCACTGAAACGTTAGCAAAAATATTTAGACAATAAATGAAGTATCAGAAAGGCTCGCGTATCTTTAAGAAATCAATCATCTTGTACGTTGCGTCTGGACACTCGGCGCCAAGGCAGAGATAGCGCCTCCTGGGGAGATAAGGGTTAATCAGGGATTTAATTCTGCGGGAGATAAAGCTGCAGGGAAGAGCAGGCGAGGCTCCTTCCTCCCTGGGCTTCTCCGCAAGAGCCTCAAAGGTTGCTGGCTTCTCCGGTGCTCGCACCCTCACTCCCCTCGGACATTATCTCTGCCTGGAGAGCGTTTCCAGCCTCGTGCCAAGTCTCCCCAGGCTGACCTGTGCCCCAGGCCCCAGCAGGACAAAACTTCCAGAGAGGAGCTGCAGGTGGGAGGGGAGGGCCGCATCTCCGGACTCCTCAGCCCTGTCCTTATGGAGCCTGCAGGGGTCCCTGGGGTTGGGCAGACATTGGTTCCAATTCTCCCTCTGCTGTTTGATCTGGATGGCTTTGGCAAGTCACTTCACCCGTTTCCTCACCTGTAGAACAGGGGCAGCAGTCCTGCCTCACAGGGTGGGAGGGGGAGGAAAGGAGGTGTTGTGTGTAAGCATGGGCACACAGCACTGTGTGGGCAGAGAGTTTGGAACACACACCTGTCCACCTTGGAAGGGGCTGATTATCCCCAGGAGAGAGCACAGGAGACGGGTGCAGACTCCACTCAGAACATGCTGAGACCCCACGCCCTCAGCCACCCTGCCTTTGTCCTGTCGCTGCTCATAGGTGTTCTTTACACTTTGAGAGTTCAGAGACCAGAGCCACAGAGCTCCCAGCCCACCCCCTCCTCCTTCCAACTATTAACTGCCTCCCAGCAGTCTAACCTCTGAAGAGTCAACTGCTGCTTGAATGCCTCCAGTGACAGGAAGCTCATTGCCTCCAGAGACTGCTCTAAACACCATAGGCCCCATCCCACGGTGGAGCCCAATCAGGCCCCTTCCACAAAGCCGAAATCCATCCTGGAGTTTCCGCCGTTTCCTCCTTGCTTGGGGCCAGAGGACGAGAGGATCGTCCCTGCTGCAGGGCTGCTGGCTCTAGTGCCCACTGAGCCCTGCCCTGAGGTAGGCGCTTGTGGACCACTTCCCCTTTGCCCTGCCCTGAGGTAGGCGCTTGTGGATCACTTCCCCTTTGCCCTGCCCTGAGGTAGGCGCTTGTGGATCACTTCCCCTTTGCCCTGCCCTGGGGTAGGCGCTTGTGGATCACTTCCCCTTTGCCCTGCCCTGAGGTAGGCACTTGTGGATCACTTCCCCTTTGCCCTGCCCTGAGGTAGGCACTTGTGGATCACTTCCCCTTTGCCCTGCCCTGAGGTAGGCACTTGTGGATCACTTCCCCTTTGCCCTGCCCTGAGGTAGGCGCTTGTGGATCACTTCCCCTTTGCCCTGCCCTGAGGTAGGCGCTTGTGGATCACTTCCCCTTTGCCCTGCCCTGAGGTAGGCGCTTGTGGATCACTTCTCCTTTGCCCTGCCCTGAGGTAGGCGCTTGTGGATCACTTCCCCTTTGCCCTGCCCTGAGGTAGGCGCTTGTGGATCACTTCCCCTTTGCCCTGCCCAGCTACCCTGGTGCTTTTCTCATCTAGGGGGAGGGTGCTGCCCAGGCGGGGATTCTGTTAAAGAGGGAGATTAGCAAGAGCTGAAGAGGTGCTGTGACACTCAGGCACCACAGGTGCCCTCTCCTTGTCCTCAGAAGGACCCACAGGGACAAAACCAGAATGAATCTCTTGCTTCCTGCTGCAGTTGTCCCCAGGTGCCCAGAAGACCACTTGGCTTACCACCAGGAGGGCCCCTGCCCATAAAGTCCTGGGCGGGGGGTGAGGTCCCTGACTTCCTCCCAGCCACACGGCCACACACAGGGTCCAGCCCTACCACTTGGCTCCTTGTTGCTTCCTCCTCTTGAAAGCCCTTCTCCTTCTCTGCCTCACCACCTTCTACTCATCCATGAAGGGCCCCTTAAAAACCCTTCCTTCAGGAAGCCCTCCCTGCATCACCCAAGGTCCCTTGGGGGCTCTGGTCTCTGAACTCTCCAGGAAGCCCTCCTGGCCCCAACACCCACATCTTCTGATGTATTTCACATGAAGTGGTGGGAGCTCCCGGACCGGCTCAGGGGGTTTAAGGGGCCTGTGCTCTGGGTGGGATGCTTCCCTGGCTGCTGCCCTATGGCCAGAGGGTGGGCTAGCCGTGGTTGGGGCTCCTTACCGGTTCTGCCTGCCTGGGGGATGAGGCTCTGCTCTGGATGCTCCCGTGGAATGGGCCCCAGGATAGGCCCTCAGCAAGGCTGCGTCGAGCCCGCACACACCTCTGCCCATCTTGCAGGACCTGCTCCAGCTCGTCTGTGGGGAGAGACATCAGAGGTGTGAGGAGCGCCAGCCATGGTGACCGCCCAGCCCTGCTGCCTGCCCCGGTCCAGCCTAACTCTGCGGCCTCAGCCCCCCAGAAGCAGTTAGGGGGCTGCAGGGCAGAGGAGGGAGTACTGCCCTGTGGGCTAGGCCTGAGTTACAGGGATGTTGGCTGGTGCCTGCTTCAGGGGCCTGGCCAGCCCCTGTGGCAAGACCTTTCCTGGAGACAATGGGCTGCAGAGAGAGGACAAAGAGGGGTGCCTTCAGCTGGATTTGAGCCGGCAGGTGCATTGCTTGGGGTGTACGGCTGCTCTGTCAGGGACATGTGTGGCCTTGGAACTAGAGCCACTGTATCAGGAACATCTGTGACCCTCATGCAGCCCAGGGTGGCATTGGCAATGCACCCAGGATGCATGCACGGAGCCAAGCCACCCCTGCTGTCTACACTGGGATGGGCACAGAGCAGAGGATGATGATGATGAGACCCACTGCCATCCCATCGCACTGTCCTCCCAGCCCCTTCCCATGGGCTGAATCCCCGAATCTGCACAGCTGGCTTGTGAGGGCAGCTGTGGAAATGCTGGGTCTTGGTTTCTTCATCTATAAGATGGGATCCCCAATACTTCCTACCTCCTTGGGTGGTACGAGGATTGAATGAGTTAATCCACCTAGCATGCTTAGCACAGTGCCTGGTGGGGCATCGGAGGCACACAGCCAGGGCCTCAGCAAAGCCAGAATCTGCACCTGGGTGGTGCTGAGATCAGTTCCATTTACTCCCTGATGATGAGAGGTGACCCCAGAATGTGCTGCTCCCACACCATCGTGCATTCTCTGGAAAATCTGGACCCTGACTCTTGCTGAGGTCCTTGGCTAGCCATGGCCTCTCTCATGGCCTGTCTCCTAGCTGAGGCTATAAGGCTCCCAGGGGCCTGAGGTTCCCTGTGCCATGAGAAGGGCCACCCTCTCTGGGCTCTGCCAGCTTGTGTGGCATTGGCCATGACTCCATAGCATGGCTCGAGGAGTGGCATCCACTGTAGAGCCAGGATTCCATTACGTTTCCACAGACAGATGGACCTCAGCTGTGAGGCCCTACAATGGTCATTAACACGGGGTGGGAACTTGGATTTGGACAGGGTCTACACTCAGGCTCCCAGGTTCAGCCCAGGCTTGCCACACGTTCCATATGACCTGTGTGGTAGAATGAATGGTGGCCCCCAAGAGATATTTCCACCGGAACCTGTGATTGTGCCCTACTTAGAAAAAGAGTCTTTGTAGATATAATCAAGTTAGGATCTCAAGATGAGACCATTATGGATCATCCAATGGGCCCTAAATCAATGAAGAATCTATAATAATCAAAGCATAATATGCTACTTAGACTGGACGTCCTTCCAGACAAAGCCGGGGCTGCGAGGGTGGGACCCGGGTGCCTGCCAGTGGCTGGAGGGAAGGCTGGGTCCCCGGTGGCAGAGTAAAGCCGGTGCCGGCAGCTGGGGGAAAGAAGGCCTACTCTTGCACGAATTTTGTGCATCAGGTCTCTAGTGTTCTTATAAGAGACACAGGAAAAAGACACAGAAGAGAGACTCGAGGAAAAAGACGGTGTGAAGACAGGCAGAGATGGAGTGATGTGGCCAGGAGGAAGCTGCGCCTGGGCCCCAGGAGCTGGGAGAAGCAAGAAGGACCCTCCCCTGGAACCTCTAGAGCAATGGTTCTCAACCTTCTGGCCCTTTAAATACAGTTCTCATGTTGTGACCCCCAACCATAAAATTATTTTCGTTGCTACTTCATAACTGTAATTTTGCTACTATTATGAATCGTAATGTAAATATCTGATATGCAGGATGGTCTTAGGCGACCCCTGTGAAAGGGTCGTTTGACCCCCAAAGGGGTCGCGACCCACAGGTTGAGAACCGCTGCTCTAGAGGGAGCGAGGCCCTGTTAACACGTGGATTTGGGATTTCTGGCTCCAGAACTGTGAGAGAATAAATTTCTGATGTTTTAAGCCACCAAGGTTGTACAAATTTATCAGCTGTACCAATTCTGCCCTGGGAGAATCACACCTGCATTTACCCCCGTCCCTGCCTCAGTGTCCTCATCGGACAAGGGGATGGTGGTGGCCATGCCCTCAGATGGCAGCCTCGCCTCCCTAGGCTGCACAACCTCTGCTCAGAAGGCCAGGCCACCTTAGGCCTCAGGTGCCATACAGGCTGCCTGGGCCCACGAAGGCCTCACGTGGCCTGGCCTGGTCCCCGAGCAAGCGCTGCTGTGGCGGCCCCACTTCCTGGAGCCCCGATTGGGCAGGCTGTGGCCTTAATGGGCCCGATTATCAGATAACTGCCGGCCTAATGGCAGAGATAACGTGTAAATATGCCAGGAGGCCTGGCTAAAACGTTCTAACTGGGTCCTTGTCTTCCCCAGGGCAGATAAGGTGGCAGGAGACCAGGGCGAGGCCGAGGAGGCCGGCGCCCCTTTATCTGCCCCACAACGAGGGGGGGCAGTGGGTGGCTCTGTCACTTTGTGGCCTTCCCACAAGGGTCTGAGCCTTCTGCCAACCCACCTAGGATGCCTGGGTGGGTGAGTGAGGGAGAGATGGGGGAATGAAGAGGCGGTCTAGAGATGAGCTCACTGGGCACTCATTTGCCCATCCATGCGTTTGTCCGTAGGGAGCCAACCATGGGCCGAGTCTGTGCACTGCCCACTTAGGGCAGTGGGACCCAGAATCCTAATGCAATGGCTTACCCCTATCCTGACAACCAGATACGCAATAAGCCACACAGGGGTTGGCCCGCACTTGGACCTCTTAACAGGGTTGCCCACTTGCTCCTCCGGGCACTAGTTCTCCGGACAGGCACAGTGGCCATGACTCCCTGTTTTCACATATTTTCTTTTCTGTGTGCAGAATGTTGGTAGGAGTCATTCCTGGCCTTGTTGGAACCCCATGAGGAGACAACACCTTCCATCTGGGGCTGGTGCCCACCTTCCCGTGGGAGGAGGAATCAGAATTCAACTCAGTCTTCCCATGTGTGGGCCAAGACATGGGGACACGGAGTGGGAGGAAGGCAGCTGGCTCAGGTCACTCCCTGAGCAACAGAAAGAGTGGGGCAGCCCCAGACCTCCCAGTCTTCCCCTGCTTGTCATACCTGTGGGGACCCATGGTCCCTTTCCGGAGCCTTGGCTCTGGCTTGCCCCCCACCTGCCCACACAGGCACCCACAGGCAAACGGCCATGCTCCCTAATCGGAGCCCCACGGCTGGCGGGCCGAGCCTCCCAGATAACAGCGGCTCCCCACGGCAGCGGCTCCATCTCCTGGGTATCATGCATTGCCAGAGAGGGCTGGCTCCTGATAAAGGCGGCTGTTCTGCAGGCCTGGGGACAGAACCCACCAGCCAGGGCTTGCTGGGGGCTGGTCAAGGCCTGGGAAAGGTGGAGAGGCCGGGGGACGGAGGGACTTGGGCTGGGGATTGGCAATGGTCATATGACAACCCACCTCCCTGGTCCAGGGGAAGCCATTTCAGGCGCCCCCTGTGGGTGGATGCAGGGCCATGGCAGGTGCCCGGCTTGGTGAGGGGAACATGGCTGGATTTAAGCCCCAGCTTACCCAGGACTCTTGTGCAGCGTACAGCCTGTGCAGCTGTCCATGGTGACCCTAGTGATGTTCAACACCTGTCTGCACAGATAACCTATTTCCAGCTTCCAGTTCCTGTCCAAACCCTCCCATGGCAAATGGGGTCAAGCAAATGTCAAAGCCCAGTTAGCACCTAGCAGAGACCCCTTCCCAACCAGAACTAAAATTGCATCAGAAAAGTGGGGGTGGGTGGGACCACTTACTCCTGGCAGACTGGGTATCTCATGAGGGCTCAGTTCAAGGCTGAGAATGAGTGGAAGCAGAAATTAGCAAGGGCGAGGGGCTCAGGGGTGGGGATGCGGAGCTAGGGGTGACAGCTGACAGGGAGAGTGACAGGCAGGAAGATGCAGTTATTTTTAAACAGCCTCGGTAAGAGCTGGAGGACCCAGACAGTGGTAGCCGTGCAGATGGCCAGTTTTCAACCACACTGATAGGAAACCCAGGGCCCAGGGAGGCCCAGGAGCACCCAAGCCACACTGAGAGCTCAGGCTAAAGGGGGGGACGAACCCAGGTCTCTGGACTCATGGCTTAGTGCTTACTCAGTCACAGAACCCCAGGTGGGCACGTGGGGCAAGGACAAAGAAGGTACACAGTAAATAGGTGGGATTTGAATTAGATACCAGCCATGGTCATGGCGAGGCCTTAATACCCTTTTCTGGGCCGAAGCAGGGGATAGAGAAAACAGGATAGGGAGGCTGTTGGAGAGGAGGTCGGGGTACAATGGGCCAGCTCTGAGCTCTCCTGTCCAGTGGCTGACTTCCTGCTCTGTCCTCAGTTTTTCCATTTGCAGATGGCCTCCTCAGGGCGGTGGGGCAGGCCCTGCTGCCTGGGTGGCTCCTCCACCCCCATGGGGTCAGGCCATCACTATAGGCACAGCATCAGGACAAAGACTAATTTATTCTGGCAAACAACCCCACACATGTTATTTCCAGAACAAACATGCAGCACAGGATTCAATTTCACCCCCAAGCATCTGTGAGGAACCAGAAGAGAAAATTCAGTTTTTGCATATTTATATGATTTACACGTCTATTTAGGTCTCAAAACCCTCCAATGGCATCCCAAGGGGATAGTGAAGGGAGCAGGGCTGAGTGTTGCCACCCAGGCTAGGTCAGGACCCACTCTTGGGAGCCTGGTGGAGGGAGTGGCTGAGTGAGAGACTTGGGGGCTGGAATCAACAGGCTGGGGCCAGGGCCTGCCTCTGCTCACCCCTTGCTGAGCCTCAGTTTACCTGCTGGGTTGGTGGCTGTGTAAGTAGACAGCACTGCTTTCCTCCCTTGGGATCCCAGGCGCCCTGAGGCCCAGCCCAGGACTGCCGCTGAGTTGCTGCTCTCAGCCTTGCCCCCAGCTCTGCCCACCCTGGAGCCGG